GGGGAGTGTGGGAGGGAGAGAGAGAGAGAGAGAGAGAGAGAGAGAGAGAGAGAGAATCCTGCTGTCAACAAACAAAATCACACAAAGCAGGACCCTCATCTAGGTGCAGTTACATTATTTGTACAATGTACATTTATTGGATTGGATGCTGGTGGGAAACATCTGAGAAGATGGGACTCTGTCTTCTCAAATATTTTTAAAAAGCTGTGTCCTAGAATTGTTCCTGATGAAATTTCGGTTTGATTGTCCTCCTGCTAGAGCTAACTAGATTCTCTAGGAAGCAGGGATTTGCTCTCCTCCATTAGCTGCAGCAGCCAGAGGTTTGCTAAATAAGACAAATGAAAAACAAACAAGGTGATATCAAGATGTATTTAAGTCATTCTTTATTTTCTTCTGAAATGAGAGCAGCTACAGTTTTGCATCTTTTGCAGCTGCATTAACAATACTAACCTATGGAAACTAGTGCTTAGAAAACCTGTGCTTAGGCCCTAGGTGGTTCTCAGATGGATCAATTGAAGCAAAATGCCTAGTATGTTTTTAGCCCTATGATAAGAGCAGGGAGGAAATATAAATGGCACAGGCCATTCAGGACACTCACTTTACCTGGAGTGAGATGATTAGTGGATTGAAACAATTAGTGAATACTAGGGTAGGACGTATATAATATAAGGTTCCTTTGTGTACTTCAAACAGGTCAACCACGAGAAGTTCAGTGTGTTGACCAACTGCATTATGCTTTCTAAGGCAGGCCAAAGAAGAATCTCAACATATTAGACAGATTTTAACAACAACAATAAGAAGTTTAAAATGAAAAGTGTTTATAGTTAAGGCACTATTTATCCTATCAAATGAGACCTTTTCCTTCCTGACTCTACAGAAGAGCTCAGCATGCACTTTTAGACAGTCAGAAGACACCTTCCTGACCTTGAAGGCTTTTAATGTAAGCTTTCTGGGGCCTTTATTTCTTTCACTGTAGACACTGAGGCTTTTACAGAGGTAACACTTTACACAAATGACTCAGCTATTCTTTGCAATAAAGAATATGGCCTTTAAATAATTCCCTTCCCTTCCCTTCCCACCTTTTCTGTCTGTATTCTCTGCCTCTTCCTCTCTGACCACTCTTTCTCACTCCCTATTTTCTATCTCTGTCTTTCCCTCCTTCTGTCATGATTTATAAACATTGGATACACTTCTTCCGACAGATTAAAACAGCTTGCTCCAATGAAACCCCATGAGGAATGATATTCGAGAAATAAAGCATGAAAAAGATCTTCATTTGCTCACTGGCTTTCACTCACTAATAGACATTACTATTCTTATGATTTTCAACACAAATTCTTGTTTCCCATCACTAAAAAAGTTAGGTAATCTTCATGAAAGAGAAAACGAGTCCCCCTGAGTGTGTTTGCATATTAGCACGTAGCCAGGTCTCTGCCAAGTCGCTCTCTGACTGACTGCTGCAGATGCTCTTTCTCAAGTATTCTGAGTCATATCTTTAGTGCAAGTCTTCAGGGACAAACAATAGCACCTGTTCCTCACAAGATATCAGGCCAGTTAGCCCATTCATGTATCTTTAATGAAGCTCTGGGGCAGATGGCAAAAAATGGCATCATCAACAACTTAGCACAGAGAAAACAAAGGGGATGAGTGTTGATGCAACAATTCTGTTTTAGAAACAGGAAGAGACAGAACCTAAGTGTTTCACGTGCATCTGCCGCTGTCTGCATTGTCTGAACGACATGAGGAACACCCAAGCAATTAAAATCCCCTGGCATGTACCCTATTTGATCAAGAATGTGTCTCCTTCCTTTCCAAAAGGGAGCTGCTTTGGTGAGGGACTGTGGAAGGTTAGAATTAATGGACAGTTGTGATTTGGGGCGTGCACTGTGTTCCTTCCATGATGCACTGACTGAGCTTCACCTACGATGGGTTCCCAGTTTCTCATTAGTCATTCACGTGACATATCCAGCCAGTTATTGCTGACTTCCAGAACAATAAAAATAATGCAGTTTCATACTCAGATATATTTTTGTCCACATCAAGTTTCACTCTTTGTCTTAAAAAAATCTGTTTTACTCCTTTATCTACAGGATAATTACCAAGTATCTGTGAATTTGTGCTAAGGGAAAGATACCCTTTCAAGCGACAAGGATGCTATTTTGAATTTTTGATAACATCTTGGAAAATACATGTGGAGACTGGTCATTCTTTGATGCAGCAAGGGGAATTCTATTATTTTTTTATTCTTTAGTAAACTATTTTTGGAGGTTGCTGTTTCCAGTGTGAGTGCCTTTCCTGGCATGTCACCAGATGGGAAAATATGATGGTGGGAAGGAAAAGGAAAGGCAGGCTTACATTCTTCAGAGCAAGGTGGGGGCTTTTCTGTATCTTCAAAAGTCTTTATCTGCCTTAAGCACTAACACTCAGCCAGTGAACTTAATTCAGCTTCCATAGGAGGAAAGTACTCCAGGTGCTTATGTGTTTTTGTGTAACCACCAAGCCCTCTTATCTCTCTCCACTAACTTGCCCTTGTTTTCTATTCCCCACCTTCAAGCAATAATCTTCTAGTAAGTACAATGAATGGACAGCTATGAAAGGGGGAAATTATTGCTTTAATTTATACTTCCCACTTATATTACAGCCATGAACCGCTAAGACAGGGTCACCTTCTGATATATGCATTGTTTGGTGACTTGTGTGTTGTGCAAACACTATAAAGTGTAGTTACACAAACCTAGATGGTATAGCCTACTACTGTAGTTGTAAGTGCTATACTTTTATACACCTGGCAGCTCAGTAGGTTTGTTTACACCAGCATCAAAACAAGCATGTGAATAATTTGTTGCTGTAGACATTACAATGACTACGGTGTCACTAGGCTGTTAGGAATTTCCCTGCTCTATTATAATTGTTGTTATGCAACACATGACTATTTGCACCGGTGAGTTGTACTGGTGAGTTTTCTATAACAGATGGTGGTTGGAAGTATTCATAGACCTCCATTACCCTTACTAATTTTTAAGACAGATGATTCCTTTAAAGTAGTATCACACTGGGGAAATCTGGATAATATTGTTGGATTATATCAAGGTCAATACCCTAGTTGTGATATTGTACTATAGTTTTTCAAGATGCTACTATTGGAGGAAAATGGGTAAAGGGTACATTGGATTTCTGGGTATTATTTATTACAACTTTGTACAAATTACAATTATGTTTATAAAACTTCCAGTCAAATAATTGTTATCACAAAGAATTATATTCCTTATCTCAGTTAGGTTGGTTTAGTAAGAAATTACTTTAAATGGGACTTAAAAGTATAGACTTTGAGCTGGTTTTACCTGGGACTTGAATCCTGGCTCCACCACTTTTTAATTGACCAAAGTTACTTAAACTCTCACAGTTTTGTCTTCCTCATTAAGTGAATGAGAATAATAACAGTAAGTACACCATAGAATTTTGAAGATTAAATGAGATAGAGCATGTAAATCACTTTCCCTGTGCTGGACATATAGGAAACACTGGAAAGGACTAGCTGCTGTGATTATCATTACCACTACTGTTACTTCTGTAAATAGAGCTAGAAATGAGCTTTCTATCATCTCTCAGCCTAGATTCTAATTGGCCACTGGATATTTTGGCTTGTGTTTAGTAAAGGGCACTTTGAATTTTCATATCATTGTTTTACTTAAGACAAGTTAAGGAAAATTTTATCATTTGGAGCTAAATGATCATTGCTAATGAATGTATTATAATAAATTATTGGAATTAGTTACAGTAGATTTATGATCAAATTGTCCTGGGCGAAAACGAGAGAGAAGACGAAAGAAACTGAAACTAAATAAATATAATAGCCATACTCCAACAATACACCTCTGAAACATACAATTGTTTTTAGTTGCAGGGCTCCAGATTTTTCCTACCGAAAGTGTGTACACATGTGGTTTTCCCTGTTTTCTATCACTGAAGTCCATGTGATGCAATGGAAAAAGCCCTGGACGGGGAAATTAGCAGTTCTGGACTCTAGATCCAGCTTGGTCGTCTAGTGTAAACCCAGGCTTGCATCTTTTATCTTCTCTAGTCACCTGGTTCCATGTGAGGTTTGATTTAGATCAGTGATTTTCAAAGAGAATTCCCTGGACCAGCAGCACCAGCTTCACTTCACATGGGGATTTGTTAGAAAAATACATTCTTAGGCCCCTACCTCAAATCTACTGATTCAGAGACTTTGAGGGTGGGGTTGAGCAATCTTTGTTTTAGCAAGCCCTCCAGATTCTGATGCACACTAAAATTTGAGCATCACTGCTCTGGATTATTTTAGTGTACATTTTAGATAGTTGGATCCAACCCCAGAGTTTCTGATTCATAGGTCTGGGGTGGAACCCCATAATTTGCTTTTTTAAAATTCTCAGGTATGGCTGATGCTGCTAGTTAGGGACCGTACTTGGAGAACTACTAGGTGAGATCAACTCTAAACTCTGGCCCTAACCAGTTTGGCTCAGTGGATATAGCGTCGGCCTGCGGACTGAAAGGTCCCAGGTTTGATTCCGGCCAAGGGCATGTACCTTGGTTGCGGGCACATCCCCAGTAGGAAGTGTGCAGGAGGCAGCTGATCGATGTTTCTCTCTCATCGATGTTTCTAACTCTCTATCCCTCTCCTTTCCTCTCTGTGAAAAATCAATAAAATATATTTAAAAAACAACAACAACAACAAAAATACTCTAAACTCTGTTCCACCTCTGAGTCTACTATTACTATTGCTCTCCCTATGCCTTCTGTTCCCCTCCTTATTTACTTTGACCCTCGTTTTAATGAAACTGCCTCTGAGCTAATAGCATTGAAAATCTAACATTTCCTACCTTGTAGAGAGTGATGGACAGAAAGGAACTTCCTTAAACTATTACAGCTTATGTTAATATGAAACCCCTATAGCTCCTTGGCATTAAAAAGGACCCTAGATAGTTTACTTAGTTTTCTCATGTACATAGCTAGTTACAAAGGAAATATCTTCAGGCACCAAGATTCAAGAATTAAGGTCTGATGCCTAATTGCCATTGATCCCTTATGATCTGAAGAGCTTGGGCACCGTGAAAATAAAATTATGTTTTCCTCCTAAGACGCTGCTTAATGAATAATTACATCTTCAAATGATCCCAGTAATCCCACCTCTTCTTTTTCACGGGTTTCTAGATACTTGGGATGGGATAATGCTCTGTGAGGTGTGGTATCTGCCGAGAACATGACAAGCCTCGGCCTGCCAAACTGAATTATTTAGTTGGCTCATGTTTTCTTTTTTGAATTAGAATTATGCATAAGATCCACTGTTTCTTCTTTTATCAGTAAGTTGATAATCTTCTAGTACTGAATATTCAAACTATATCAAAAAGAGAGCAAAGACCTAACGCTTACTGAGTGCCTATTATGTGCCACTCACTGTGCCACAAGCATTACTTTCCTTGTCTATTAATCCTCACAATAACCATGTAAGGTAGTATCACTAACTTTGCTTTTTACGTGACAGAATAGACTCAGGAAGGTTAAATGAGTGTTCAAGATCACACAGCCAACAGAAGGGCAGTGTATAGATGTAAGCTCGGATTGTTTGGCAGTAAAGCCTTTGTAGGCAGAGTAGATAGTGAATAAATTATGTGTCCAATGGATGAAAGAATGACTAGATCGCAATATCTTCCTAATGTTGACTTTTAAACAACCATAGAATTATCAAGTTGCAAAGGGTGTATAGGTCATTATCTAATCAGGGTTTCAGTTTCACATGTCCTTTCAAGAATTTCTCACATGTAGGTGTGCAACCTTTACTTGACCACCTCTAGGGAAATGGCACACACACTCTCTTTCATCAGTGATTGTTGGATTACTCATTATTAGAAAATTCTTTGCATTAAACTTCCCTAAAATCTCTTTCTTTTGAACATAGTTCTGCCCATTGTAACTGCTCAGATTTAATCTGGTTCATCTTCCATATATCATTCCTTCAAACATTTGAATATAGTGTATCTTCTCTATTCCAAGCTAAATGGCCTCCATTTTTTTCCAGCTACTTTTCAAGATCCATCACACATAATAATAACTTAATAGCCATAGCTATTAAGGTGGCTCATTGGTTGGAGCATCGTCTCATGCACCAAAGTTGTAGGTTTGATTCCTAGTCAAGGCACATGCCTAGGTTGTGGGTTCATTCCCTGGTGGGGTGTGTACGGGAGGCAATCAATTGTTGTTGTTTTTTTATCACCTCTCTCTCTCTCTCTCTCTCTCGCTCTCTCTCTCTCTCTTTCTCTCTCAAACAGTGGAAGGATATCCTTGGGTGAGGATATAAATAAATAAACAAACAAACAAACAAACAAATAAATAAATAAATAAATAAAATGTAATAAATGTCTGTTAAATGACAGAAGGAAAGATTAAATAAATATGATACCTAGACTTCTCACTTTCTTGCTCCCCTTCTTTAGAGTGTGAAGCATCTGTGCTATGTGCTGGGTACTTGAGAGGACCATATTCTAGGAGTAGATGAAATGATTTCCTTCTATATACTCTTGCACTGAACAATAGTCACCCACAAAGAATACCATGTTTTATTTTCTGACGTAGAACAGTGCCCTCAATGTTGACATCTCAGATTTGCATCAGGTCACAATCAGCTGGGGTTGGAAGCAAACTTAGTGTTTTTCTTCAGGGTTAAAGGCAAGACCTGGGCACTAGGGGATCAGCTCCAATTTAAGCAGGCTAAGTTTGTACTCTAACGTACAAAACTTGGGCTTACCTCAGCTAAAATGGGAGAAATAGCTGCCTAAAGCTAGTTTCTTTCACGCCCCACTGGCAAGGTAGTAATTGCACAAAGACCTTTTTATTATAAGTTGATTTTCCTGAGAAATGAATTCAGAAAAATACTGTAAAGTGTTTATTTTTTGCTTGCCCTTTATTAACCCACATCATAGGGCTTTCCCTAGAGAAAAACTGTTGGTAAATGAAACCTCTTAGACCCATACAGAAGCATTTTGCACCATGTCCCTGGCTGTGGAGGGAACAAGGACAGGACAAGGCAAGTTAGTGCTATTTAAACAGGGTCACCAGCCAGTGTGTGGATTTCTGCCTGAAAAGAAGATTTAGGAATTTAAACAGGGGAAAGGTTTGGGGCCGGTAGAATTAGTGGTAATGGTTTATATCTTAAATAGAAATTAATGTAGCCTTTTTATGCTAGTAAGGAGGCCAAAAACCCCGTTTGAACTAAAAGATCATTTCTGTTAATACACCCTAGTTTTGATCTTTATATAACAAAAGTCCCGTAGTTCAACTTATAGAATCAGGCCCTGAAAGCCAGGACAAAACCTTCCTGTGATGCTCTCGAGAACCGGGGCAGCATGCCTGGAGGAAAGGAGGGAGCTGGGAAATTAAAGTGTGATTTCCACAGGCATGATTCTGTCATAGCTCTCACTTTCTTTATATGGAACACAAATACTGATATAGAGAGTGAAGATTTTCTATTTTGCATTTTTGTGCTCTTTGATACATTTATTGAGGTCAAATGAAATTTGATGTAGTAGGATTTATTATGAAATGCTCTCTGAATACAACTCCATAATTACTGAGCTACATGGTAGTGCATAAAGCTGTAAAACTGCTTAGCCAGACAAGCAATTTATATGTTACATCGAGGTGTGTATGGCAAAGAATATTAGTTTAATTGGGAGCCAAGATGTAGTAGCCTTAAATCTGAAGAGCTATATGTTTAACATAATGCAGTGAGGCTTTGAAATAAGAAACCTAACTGGGGAGACACAGCTTTTGGAATACATAACAATTAGACATTATTTTCTGTCCAAGGATACTAAATACTGTTTTCAAAATAAAGCACAGAATGCAAAGCTGGTGTAAGGGTAAAACCTTTAAACATTGTACAATGTAAGAAGCAACTTATTTCTTTGTTTTAAAAAAGGAAAGAAAATAAAGGAAAAATAAAGTTGAGATAAAAGAAAACCAGTAACTACAATTTAGTGGAAGCAGGGGTGAAGCAAATTCACAATGAGGTGATGTTCTTGCTGTGCTAATGGAATCTAAGAGAAGGGACTTGTGGAATGTGGCCCGAGTTTTCTGAGGGAGCACATTTGGAATGAGGTTGGAGGTGGGTGGCTGTTTGGGTTCCCACACCCCACCAGGAGTGAAAAACAAATACTTCTTGGCGTGCATTTGCTCTCTGTCTGATCATAGGCTCTCTTCTGTTTAGCAGGTTCAGGGTCACATGCCTCCGCTCATGATCCCAATTTTTCCACATGACCAGCGGACCCTGGCAGCAGCTGCTGCTGCCCAACAGGGATTCCTCTTCCCCCCTGGAATAACATACAAACCAGGTAAGTAGAGAGGAATTTAACATTCTTTTGGAAATGCTAAAATCCACATGTTTTTGCTTAGTAGTCACAACAAACACAGGAGCACATGAAAGAACTATGAGCACAGAGATCATGAAAGCTTATTTAAAAGTAAAATTAGAACTGGGAAGTTAATTGGGAAGGTGACATGTTAATAAACTAATTGGTTGCTAAAAACTTTTACTTTCTCTTCTTCCACTTGATTTTTTTTTGTTCATAGATAAAATGCCACTTTCCTTGGGGGCGATTACACATTTTTATTAGCTCTGTCTCATACCTTTACTGTGAATAATTGTCTTTGGTTACCGATGCTTTCCTCCCCAAGAGCTTTTATATTCTGGCCGAGTGGTCACGTACAGTATAAAATGTTGTTATTAGTTGTTGTATGATTTCTCTTGGAAGAAAAATTAAAACTGGATTGATTTAATTAACTTACCATTAATAGCTAAAATTCTTTTTGATGTTAGTCTAAATAATGAAACATTCAGTAGTATTTTCTCATTCATCTTGGAACCTCAAAAAACAGGTCACATAACCTTGCAGTGAAATATGTTTTGAGATGATTTAGCAAATGTTATGATTTTTCTTTATTCCTCTGAGTTTACTGGACTCCTAGGGAATTCAATTAGGGACACAGAATGGTTTGAAGGTTCTTTCAGAGCCTCCTTGTAAACAGGGCTTTAAATGTTTAAAGATATGTTGCCAAAGGAATCCAATGTAAGAAGATAGTCAAGTAAATAAAAGTCAACCTTAATTTCATTTGTGCATTCTTTGTAAGTGACCTCAGCTCAGAAGTAGTGACCTTGTTCTACTCATTAATAATTTCTGTGTCAAGTTCTTTTTAACATATTAACCTGCTTATATTAACCACCAAATCTGTGTGTAACAAATCTGAGTGCAGCAGTTTCTTTGTGTTTGGGGTTTACAAAGTGAACAAAGGTATTTTAATATGCTTAAAGCACTAATAAAATATAAATCACTCTACTAAAATGCTTGGTAAGAAAGTTTACTAAGTAGCATAAAAACAAACCTGGTGAATTTTGATACTTATTTTAACTGTTTGTTGCTATTGATTACTCTTTTGCTCTTGGTCGAGTACACTCTTCCTTGTAAGGAAAGGTAAGATGTGTGTCAAAACTCAAAGGATTTAAAGAATAGAGATGTTAAGGGATTGGCTAATTTAAGGACTGACTTTGAAAATTCTTCAGATAAAAAAATGGCAATCCTTAGTATTAAAGGTTTCTGGGCACCTGAGTGAAAGACAGTTGTGGTATTCAGATTGCTAAACATTGGTTTTTCTAGAGCAGAATTTTCAGAACAAGTTATATACCCTATGAAGTTGAGATTCATATTAAGGACAGGAGTATATTTTGTCAGAGAATATGTTTCTGTCAGTGCAGTGTTTCAGTCCTTCTCTGTTCTCTTTAAGTATTTCTGAACTGTTTCTTCATCTTGAGTATCTTTGGAATGTTGGTGTAAACTAAATTTACTGGTTTATCCTGAATCTGAGTTTGTCATCTCTCTACCAATCTTAGAATCCTTTTAAATGAACTATACGTGGAACTCTCTATTTAATTTCAGTGTTTTTAAATTTAAAATTCTCCACACTTCAAAATCAGGTATGAGCCTTACTTTCTACTAGACATAGATATCAACATAGTTAACATGTTGCCTAATTTTGTTAAAACAACGATGACATTTTTCATGAGGACAGATATTGTTATATAATCAATGAAGTTGGACCATTTTTTAAAAGTCTTCTCATATAGCATCAATGAGATTATAATATGTAACTAAGAAGAATATAGAGATTTGGACAATATTGTACAGGCGTGAGTTACCTCCCTCGAACCGCATATGTGCAGCACAGTGTAGTGTTCTGGGGAAGCAAAGTTGTATTTGATTATTTTGGCTAAAACGTTTTGGTTAAGGCAGGACAGTAGATTTGGACATTAGGACAGTTTTTAATCCCAGGCAAGGCTGGTGATAAAAGTATTTTCTGGTGACTCCTAAGTTATGTCAGATAAATTAATTAAGCAGAACTCTATATTCTTTAATTTGTTGGCTAATCTAGGCTTTACTGTATATAAAAATTATACTTAAAAAGATTTAAAGTTATATGTTCTTACACTATTAGTAGAGAAATTCCATATTCAGGAGACTTAATCTATGCAGTGTTCTTGTCATTCACCTGAATTTGGGGAGGAGAATTCTGGACCAGAGTCTGAATTTGGACCAGAGTCTGGAGTAAGAAAACTTTTTTTACTATAAACTGAGCTATGGTAATTTCACTTGAAAGACACATGAGACAATGACTAAATTTTTAGAAGAGAGGAACTTTGTCACATATAAAAGCTGTGCAATGATCACATAACTTTATATTTTGATCCTCTAAGCAAGAGGCTGAGCAAACGCTACCTTGTTCTTCATAAATTACAAAATAAAGGACTCTCTTTTTTTCTCCTTTTCTACCTTCCCATAACCTAAAACAATTCCAGAGAGCTTATGCTGCCAGCTGATTGAATAATCGTCTTGATTGCTAGACAGCCAGGCCCTCCTTGGGGTGATATTCACAGTGGAAGTTGACTATTTCTGAACCCATATTAGCACAGTCTAAACTAACATATTTAGGGCTCTGGGACTTCCCCTTCAGATAGTTTGCCCATCGCTCTGGGCATTGCAGGGTTCCTGTGCACAGTGAGCAGCAAGCAAGCTCTCCCACCTCGCTGGCTTACTGAGGAGTGTTGCCCACAGGAATTGTGCGTGTTGATGAACTTTCCCTGTATTCCTACTTTTCTGAGACTATTTTTCCTATCATGAACAGTTATTAGATCTTGTCAAATGCATCAATTGAGATGATCAAGTGGAGTTTTCCCCCTTTGTTCTATAAATATGATGTATTATACTGAGTCTTTTAGATGTTGAATCACTCTTGCATTCTTGGGATAAATATTACCTAGTCATAGTGAATAATATCTTTAATATGTTGTTGGATTCAATATGCTAATATTTTGTTGAGGAACTTTGTATCTATATTCATAAAGGATATTGGTCTGTTTTTTGTGGTTTTGTTTTCCTGTGATGTCTTTATCTGGATTTGGTATCAAGGTAATGTTGGTCTCATTACTGAATAGTTAGGAAGAGTTCTCTCTCTCTCTCTCTCTCTCTCTCTCTTGTTGAAGACTTTGGGAAAGATTAGTGTTAATTTTTCTTGAATATTGAATAAAATTTACTGGTGAAGCCATCTGATCCAAGACTTTTCTTTGTTGGGAGGTTTTGATTACTGATTCAATCTCTTTACCTGTTATAGTTCTGTTGGTATTTTTTATTTTTTCTTGAATCCATTTAGGTAATTTGCATCTTTCAAGAATTTGTCTATTTCTTCTAGATTTTCTAATTTGTTGGTGTACAATTGTTATCTAATGCTTCTTTTTAATTCCTTTGTTTCATTTAGCATTTATTGAGCACCATTTATTTGTCTATAAACATAAATAATAAATTTTATATACTAGTAAATAAATTAGACTGTCAAACCCCAGAGGGAAGGCAGGGGAGGGAGTGGTGGGAAGAGATCAACCAATGAACTCAAATGCATATATGCATAACCCATAGACACAGACAATAGGGTGGTGAAGGCCTGGGGGGTTGGGGGTGAGGGAGGAGAGGGCAATGGGAGAAAAACAGGACATATGTAATACTTTCAACAATAAAGATTTAAAAATAAAAATAAAATAAAAGATGCTCCTTGAGAAAAAAGAAAATCAAACACATTGATTAACTTTTCTAAGCACTCCCATCTAGGAATTAGCAGAGATAGAATCCAGACTGGTTCTCTGATTTGATATTTTATGCTCTTGTGGACATGTTCTAAGTGTGGATGACATTAAGAAAAATCTGGTGTTTGCTTTTTCTGTAGGAAAAAATGTGATTTATATGTATGGGGTTAGCCAAATGACATCTTATAGAGCTGGGATTTCTACCGCTTCCAGAATTAAATCATAGGTGTGTAACCACTGTTGCTGGAATACTTGATTAAATCTATCTACTTGAAATTAAAGCATCTTAGTTTCTTCATATTAGTGTTCTAATTTTTAAATTAAAATGTTGCAGTCCAAGAAGAAAATATGTTCATCCATGTAAACTAACCTGGCTTCATGGAGATCATTTTAACTGTTCCTCCTTCATATATAGAGCCTATATCATTGGTGAGCTAATATTAAGGCATAAACTGAGTGGTTTTATAATTTCATTTCTTGCAATGGGGGTGGATTTATATCAGTTCATCGACCCTCACTTATTTAATTGCTATTCTGACAAATTCCATGGATTTTTATATATTGGTCAGAGGAGTGGATGCATCTATGAAATAGGTAAAGAAATTAAGATTGATTCTTGATTCTTAGCTTCTTTGAAGGTATCAAAAACAATGCAGATAGCCTGGAAAGCATGGCTCAGTGGTTAAGTGTCAACCCACGAACCAGGAGTTTGTGGTTCAATTCCCTGGTCAGGGCACATGCCTGGGTTGCAGGCTTGATCCCCAGTGTGGGGCATGCAGGAGGCAGCCAATCAGTGATTCTCTCTCAACATTGATGTTTCTCTCTCTCTTTCCTTCTCCCTTCCTCTCTGAAATCAATAAAAACATATTTAAAAATAAACAAACAAACAACATGCAGATACTCTTAGGAAAACTCCTAAGACTCCTAAAACTCAAGACTCTTCTCATCATTGGTCTATTCCAGTGATGGCGAACCTATGACACGTGTGTCAGAGGTGACACGCGAACTCATTTTTTTGGTTGATATTTCTTTGTTAAATGGCATTTAAATATATAAAATAAATATCAAAAATATAAGTCTTTGTTTTACTATGGTTGCAAATATAAAAAAATTTCTATATGTGACACGGCACCAGAGTTAAGTTAGGGTTTTTCAAAATGCTGACATGCCGAGCTCAAAAGGTTCGCCATCACTGGTCTATTCTTTAATGAACAGAGAAGGAGCAGTTTTGCAGGAGAAATGAGAGCATGCTTGCCAATTTTTTTTGCCCAATTGTCCTCAGAACAGATGGAAGGTTTTGTTCTATTTTTAGAATTCTTGTCACCCATTACCTGCTAACTTTTGCTGTGATGTGATGTTTCACAAAGATAAATTCAGATAGATTATGGCAATTTTTTAGAATATAGAGGAAGTATAATATTTTGCTACTCTGAATACATACATCCAGGCAAGATGCAAAGTGGTATGTCTAAGTCTACACTGATGATAGTGATTGAACTATTTCTATATTGTAGCAAGAATGACGATAGCTTATAAAAATGGAATCTATATATAAGTTATTTGGCAACTCAAGTAATTTGCCATAAACCTATGATGCCACCACAAATTAATCTGTGAGATAGTTAGGGTTGTGTAGTGAATTTTTCTTCTGTTTTGGAGTGTGTAGAGTAAGGTGTGAGACTTTGAGCCAAATAACTGAAGAATCTTTGAATCCTGTCTCCCAGTTTAATGTATCTTTCTTCTCTACTCCTCCCAAGCTCTTTAAATGATTTCCTCAATAGGTTAATATCTGAAGTGAATATCTCAGAAGACCACAACCATCCCAGTCCCTTGTCTTTCTGAAGAATCATACTAAATGGGCAGAATTTTACATGTGGGATGACTCTTTAATGAAAGTGAAATTTCTATCTGAATTACACAAACTATGAGTATTCTTGTAGGAGGTAGACTGAGTCCTAGTTCCCCCTCCTCCTATATTTAAGTCTTAATAAGTTTTGGCTTCATTTCAGTTTCCCTGAAAATTACACAATGTACTTTCTGTCATTCAGGGACTCTTGCTGTGGAGCTGCTTTGATTTCAAAGGAATGTTACCCAGTGTGACAAGTGAAACGAATGTTAGGCAAATGTCCCATAGGTTTTAAGTCCTGTTTCGTATTTGTACTGTAATCCGCAGGTAAAAATAGTCAGTTGGAAAATCTAGAAGGCTGGAGAGATGGATTTGCAGAATGGGCATTCTTTTTCAGACTACCTCTTGGAGGTTGTCTTCGTACACTAGAGGTGGCAGGAGCCAGAGTACGGCAGTGCCTAAAGCCAACCTGTTCCAACAGGCTTCATCTTCCTTTGTACAAATTTAAAAGAATGGGTGCTCACGCAAGCATTTCAAATCCAGAGACAAATTTGAAAAAAATTGCTACAACATGTTGACTGATTCCTTGCCAAGTCAGCCACTGAGAACTTTTTCTTGATCAACTCTTACACAGAGGAAACAAAAGGGGGTTGGGGAGAGCACGTAACTTTGTTATAAAAAATTAAACTTTCCAACACCCTAAATCCCTCTCCCTCTTATATTTTCCTCTTCTACTTTTATAATCCCCCTCTTTCCTTCACCCTTATCTTCTCCCTCTCTTGACTTTTCCTTTTTCTCTCTCTTCTAATTATTTTATGTGATAATCTCTGTTGCTCTAATGTATTCATTTTTACTTTTAATATCGATACAATGATATGTTCTGGAGAAATAGCTTTGCAAAGATTATATTTAAACATACAGATTCAAACCAACAGCAAAGTTAGAAACGCTTTAAAAATAAGCTTGTCAGCAGTAGAAAGAGAGCTGTTTGTAGCCAGCAGGTGAGCTGGAGAGTACTACAGGGTGTGGTAGAGATAGTAATAAATTAACTAGCAAGCCAAAAACTATTTAAAAAAATCAGCTATTTCATAGCATAGAAGCATGACAGCTATGAAAAAAGGAGTGCCCCAGGGAATTCTTTTAGAGTTTGATTTTTTAAAATATGTTTGACATGAAAAATGTTTTAGTACAAATAAAGCAACTGGTATTAAACTTACAGGGAGGGGGGTTTTGTGGTTTAGAGTTAGTATGAATAATGCATGATATTTAAAGAAAGAATAGCTCTAAAATGTTCCGGGAGGCAGTCCATGTTGATAGTTGGAATGGTGATTTTTTCCACCCTATTTTTGAAGCATCATTAATTCAGCATCGTTTTGTGATTTTTTTTAACATGATCAGATATCAACCAAAGAAATACTATTTGACTTAGATAGGAATATTCTTTCATCCGATAATTTAGTTTAAATATCAAGGAGATCAGTGGAATTATTTAAGCATAAAGCGACAGTCACTTACTATAAAAAATAATTTGGCCTAGTTAACTTTTTTAAAAAGCTCATGCAGCACTGCAAACCAAAATCAACCTCATGGAAGGGGAAAAACAAGATCAGATATTTTGAACATTACTCCATAGGAGACCAGCACAGCATAGTGCTAGTGAGTGCATTGTAGCAGTGCTCGTATGCAATCAGAAGCCAATTGTTACTGGACTGCACACGAGCACACACTGTGCTCAATGGTCTGATGAGGTATTATGGATATGATGCAAAGAGACTGTGCAGATCAGAAGCTAACAATTTGTTAAAAGTGAAAGTGACTTAACATGTACATTGGGCCAGCTGAGCAGCACTTCGTGTGGCAGGCAGGATGCGTCCCAGGGAAGCAGGGGCATCAGGAGGCTCCAGGTATTGGTGTCCATGCAGAAAAAAACAAAGAGGTTTAGTTGCTTTCCAGTTGACTACCGCTGTTACTGCGATTCTTTCTACACCGTCTCTTCATTATACATTCAGTTTTCAGTGTGGAAAAAGTTCATGCAAAACAGCATGATTATTATAAATGTCAAAAATGTGTGAAGGAACAGCCTATTAAAATATAGCCTAGAAATAGCGCACGACACTGACTTTAAATGAGTGGCCGGAGCCCAAGCGATGCTCCATTTAATCACGGATATTGTGTGATTTGTCCACAAGTATTCATTTTGACCTCAGTTACCACGATCACAATACAGTCCTCAGTGCTTTCTCTTGGTCCCTCAGGTCGCTGCACACAGCCTGTGCTCTTAGGTCACTGTCGGCACCTCTGTCCCCCTATTTAGGAGAGGCCTGGAGTCAGAAACACAAACACGTTAGGATGTAGCACTGACCTCTGCTGAACCATGCTTAATATTTTCCGAACTTTAATGGAGACATTCCATGTAAAACATGTGGTTATGAAATCACATCAAGGAGGAAGTGATAAGTACCTAGGGTGCATGGTTCTGTACTAGGCTCCACAGAAGTTAATCCAGAAAAATAATGCGTCCACTCCCGTTGGGATACCAGGCATTTCACAGAATGTTGGCAGATAAGATGAGTTTCCCTCTCACTGCTATCAATTAAAGAGATTGCACTTTAAAATTTTTTCTCTATTTTTTTAATAAAGTATAGTTTAGGGTTATGGACAGTCAACAGATCACAATCTTTTTTGGGCTCTAACGCTCTGCCTTGCTTACCAAGTCAGTTTTTGTTGTTAATACAAAAGCCTTAATGCTTTCTTAGTGAACGGAGTGTCAGCCTGGCTTTAAGATATTTTTTTACCCTTAAAAAAATGATGTATTACAAGATTTGTAATGGAGTGAACATGCTTGAATTGCACATTAAATTTTTTTTAACATCACATTCATGTTTTGCCAGTTTGCCTACCAGCTATCTGTTAACAAAAAGTTCCAAGGCAGCACTGCAAGTCTGTGCCCAACGAAGCCTTTTGTTTCTGCAGATGTTTGAGCTTAGAGCAACGTTGTAAAGCTCAGGCAATCCCAGGGCCATGTTTGTACTTGTCTGCTGCGATTCCCTGTGCATTGTCTAAACCTGTACGCATTGTTCTTTCCGACAGGTGATAACTACCCCGTACAGTTCATTCCATCAACAATGGCAGCTGCTGCCGCTTCGGGCCTCAGCCCTTTACAGCTCCAGGTAAGTGCCAGAGGAAAATGTGGGATGCTCGCCAGTGCTCTAGTGGAAAACTGCTAACCAGCTGTATGCTAAATAATGGCCCTAATGTTAAATAATTTTTTAAGCATAGCCTAGGAGGATTAACACCTTATGTACTTGCCATACTGCAAATAGAAAAGTGCCAGTTTCAATATTTTTAAAGGAAAAATGACACGATGACTTAGGACTTTATGTTCTCTATCAGGTGAGTTAATGGTTTGACAATTTCTTTATGGCTGGTTGTTATTGGCTGCATTAGCTTTCTCCTTGTCAAGTTTCCACCCATGTCTTAATTTATGTCAAATTAGCTTTTACATATAAGCATCAAAACAGAGAACAGTGTTGGATATTTTCCTTCTAGCAGCTCATAGAACAGGGGGTCGTCATTATTACCAAATTACTTTAGCTACTTAGTAAAATGTAAACATATTGCACCTGAGCATGCGTATCGTCACCTCATCCTCTTCCTCATTCCAGGTTGAAAGTCTGGGCATGGTGTCTGACCAAGTTCTTTACTTAAAAGCTAAACTTGGGGGAAAGTGTTTAGGAAGCTGAATGAAAAATCATCTGCACCTTGTCTTCTTCACATTAAAATGAAGGGTGTACAGTAGGGTGAGGCGATCTTTACACCCTTCCAGTACTGCCTTTTAGTGGGAAATTGACTGTAAATGAGTATGCATTTTTAGCAAAAAGATAATATTAAAATAATGGTTAAACCTTCAGAATTTAAACATCTAAAAAGTATGATAACAACCAACTTTCATTTCAATACAGTGGAGAGTTTAAAGATAGTATTTTATTCTTATAATTTATTGTGATTATTTTTTATTTTTCTTAAATAATCTAGGAAATAGCACCTGGCTAGGCATTTTACTTTCTTCTTTGCTATTCCCTACATAACCTCAACATTAAAAAATGTACAAGTATTTTACCATGAAAAAAACATTATTTTGACCGTTTTCAATTGGGTCTTCAAGTAAGAATTTTTGCAAGACTTTGAGTGTTTATCCTAAGCCTCATCCAGAAAGCCTTGTTATGGACTGCCCAGCAGAACTAAAAGTTTTGCCTATAAGAGTGGCAACCCTACCTCTCTTCCAAGCCTCCCCCTTCCCCACTACTAACGCTGGAACTTACTGAAATTGGTGAACTCTAAGAAAAGCCTCACTACCAGGAAACCTAATCTACTTCTCCTTTTTAGATAGCTATGCTATAGAGTGTACCCTTGAGTCAGAGGCAGGAATAAGAATCAGTCCCATTGTTTGATCTTAGAGCCGAGTTTCTGTGAAGGAGCATCTGGGTCCTAAACCTTCTACTTTCTATGCTTTGGTGTGGTCAGTACCCTGGGTATAGAAATATGTGTTCTGTTTCATGAGTTCTGACAGTGTGTTTTGTCTTTTTTTTTTTTTTCTGAATACGCTACTAAACAGAAGGGTCATGTCTCCCACCCACAAATTAACCCAAGGCTAAAGGGCCTAAGTGACCGTTTTGGCAGGAGTTTGGACACCTTTGAACATGGTGGTGGCCACTCTTACAACCACAAACAGATTGAGGTATGAATACTTCCATTGGTGCTTCATTGGGTGGGGGACTGGATTGTTCAGTCATATTATAGGCTTTCTCAAAAGTGGCAAACACAAAACCTAAACACTACAAGATAATCATTTCCTACTTCTAATTCCTAAGGAGGCTCCTTTTTGCTCCTTTTCTTTCATTAAAAAAAAAAAAGCAGATGTCAAACCAATGCCCCTGAATTAGGTTGTTTATTCCTGTATATGTATTTAGGCAATTTTTTTATATTATGTGTGTTTTCAAACCATCTTTATTTTCTTTACTTATTATTACTTTTTTAAATGTATAGTGATGTATAATGTTAAAAAAACACTTAAACACTACAAAAATCTCATTTGACCACATAAAACTCTGTAAAGTTGATAGAATATGGTTCCACTTGTACAGATAAATAACAGAGGTTCAGAGAGGTCAAGTTTTTTAACTAAGGCTACAAAATATTCCTGAGTCAAAGTTTTTACCTAGGATTTTTTTTAACTCTACCTAATTCAGGTTTCTTAACTTAGTTTTCTCAGGCTGAAGTAGGGATGGGTGCCTGGGCCTGGCTGCTTGCTTTTTGCCCCATAAATTTTGATAGTATTCCTTTTGTATTTAACTTCCAGTAAAGCTCTTAGTTAGTTAGTTAATTTGTTTTTTGGTGTGTGTGTGTGTGGTATTCTTACTACTTGGGAGAAGATGGCTTATATGTCTCTTTTGAAAACCAAGTCCTTTTCTTCTACAGGGATCTAGTTGTTCTCTAATTTCATGCTTAATTCCTTTCCTATATCATTGGTGTTCCTCTCTGGGACTCTCAGGTACTGGCGAGTTGCCAGCAAGCTGTTGAATCACAAAAAAAAATGGAGACAGATTACCTCAGACTGAAATACACTTTGACTTTCTGGGTTAGATGTAATACTACATTTTATATTCTAACCAAGGATAGGAAACCCAATTCAAAAAAAAAAGAAAGAGAGAGAGAGAGAGAGAGAGAGAGAGAGAGAGAGAAGGAAGGAAGGAAGGAAGGAAGGAAGGAAGGAAGGAAGGAAGGAAGGAAGGAAGAAAGAAAGAAAGAAAGAAAGAAAGAAAGAAAGAAAGAAAGAAAGAAAGAAGAGAAAGAAAGAAGAGAAAGACAGAAAGAAAAAGTAATTACAGCTAGCAAAAGTTGTATATTCAGCTTCTATTGGCTCTGCAAGTTATACATATTACATACTATGTATTCAATAAAGTGTCCATGTGACTTCTTCTCTGCTGCTTTTGAATCTACATTTTTGGAAAATGATAAAGTTTACTCCAGAGAAAAAAGGAGGGAACAAGATCAAAGGCCACCTTGGAAATAGCCTAGGGAGGAGTTCCAGAGCTCACTGCCCCCTTGCTCTCACCCTTCCCCTTTGATATGAGGTATAAGGGGGTTTCCACCCAGGCATGACCAGGCATACACTCTCAGTATCTGCTGCCTGCTATACAGCCAGAAAGGATTTCTCTCCTAAGGCTTTTGGATGTAGAAAAGATACCAAATTTCTGGACATTCTGAAAATCTATGCTTAGGATTGATTGCTAAATAGAAACTGGACATTAAGAACAAGTTTCCATGTGAAAACAGTTAGCAAGCTTACCCTCTCAGGACAGTTAGTTTGTTAAACTTTTAAGTGCTTGAATGAATGTGAACGCAGGTGACCTCCTCTCCTCTTTGACTTTATGTTCTCTTGAAGTGTTGAGGTTTATCCCATCAACCTTCTCTTAGCCATTTTCTACCCAGATTTTCTTTTACTAAATTTTCACAAGTCACTTAAGTTGACTTCTTTTTTTTAAAAAAATATATTTTATTGATTTTTTACAGAGAGTAAGGGAGAGGGATAGAGAGTTAGAAACATCGATGAGAGAGAAACATTGATCAGTTGCCTCCTGCACACCCCCTACTGGGGATGTGCCCGCAACCAAGGTACATGCCCTTGACCAGAATCAAACCTGGGACCCTTCAGTCCACAGGCCGACACTCTATCTACTGAGCCAAACCGGTTAGGGCTTAAGTTGACTTTTTTCTGTCACAACATCACTGTCTCCTGATGCTGTCAAGTCAGGCTTCTGTTGGGCTTTGATGCCATAATGTCATACATGTGAGGGCCAGATCTGGGTGTTGCTGTAGCAGTGCTGATGGGGAAGCACAACATATGCCGATGTCTGTCACTTTTATTAGGCTAAATAGAGAACCCATTTAAGCAGGAGCCCTCACAGCTTTGCAGTTTGAGTTTGGGCTGGTTTGAGAATTTCTTGGGTTTCTGTTTATCCTTGCTCTGTTTTCTTCCATTTTTTGCAAGTTTTTTCTGCATGTTAGGAAACCTTTGTTCTGTTTGCTTGTATGGTACCCTGGTTAGAAAAGCTCGACCTTGTTTGAAAGGCAGATTGCCTAAACTTTCCAGGTGTTAGTCTAACATGTTTATTGGGACGTTTATGAACAGCAGAGTAGACACTCATGTCGAAGCTGCTACAGACATTAACATTTAAAGTCTTGAGCAAGAATAGAGAGAACATTTAATAATATCTTGCTTTATTGATTTTAAAGTCAGCTTTCTTTTCTAGCTAAGGTTTTCTCCCCTTCTTTGACAAGCTAAAATGTCATAGCTCCAACAATCATTGCCATGATAAACTGTTGATACTAAGGAAGCATTGCAAGTATGTTAACTTGTTTTATTTCTAAACAGAGATTCTTAGTTAAAAAAAAGAAAAAGAAAAAGAAAAAAAAATCCACAATACGTTGATACCACTACCACCACCACCACCCACCACCCCTCCCCCGCCCTGCTGCGTTGCTTAGCACTGGTTCTATCTGATGTCACAGTTAACTTGTCCTTCAAAGGTTGTTACTTCTAACAGTTATAAGCCTGGATAAATCTTAACAGTGTTTATGGTCACACCCTGGAAGCCAGAAATTTTGTTAGCAAGTAGAGAAAAGATATTTAAAGTGGAAAGATCCTTCTTACATGAGTATATTCCAGTTCTGTCTTTCTCTGGAATAAAGAAGATGCAGGAAAGATTTCTTTTTACTTTGTTGCTTTTCTGAGCTAATCTAAGGCTTTTTTTTTTCTGTCTCAGGGGCACAATTTTAGAAGAGAGCAGGCCAAAGAATGCTATTTTTAGTTGAACAGTTCAGCAGATGGAGACATGAATACTCATATATCTGAAGGTTTAGGGGCTTGAACCATTAATTTTGATAATGTATTTAACCCTGGGAACAATCAGAAACTGTAACTCTAAGGTTGCAGTGTTTTTGACCTTTAGAGAACAGAGGGCATTTGCTACAGTAAACAATATATTATATTGCTACTTATTCCAATTCTCTCCCCGTATAAATTTCAGGACCAGTTGCCATTTGCTTTCCTCCGCTATGTTAGCATTGGTCCTTCAAGTAAGTCAAGAAGAATGTTAAGGAATGGGGACCACTATAATGAGGTGGTCATGTAAATTTGGCCTTTGAATAGCTAAGATGTTAGATTGTTTCTGAAGAAATATCATCTTAGAAACTAAGCTCTGAATGACTTTTTTTTTAAAGGAAAAAATGGTTTCAGTGTATTGATTCATTGTAGGTGATGACTTTCAATATAATAGATCCTTAAGGTGATCTTGTTTAATTTTGTTTTTAATTAGGAGTAATGTTGCCTCATAGTTGTAGCTTATAGTAAACACAATCTGGTACCATGTCATGCAAAATAATACACCTGTCTCATGCCTTCTTATTAAATGATACATGCTCTCTTTAGCAAATACAGCAGTTAAATATCACACAGCTTAAGAATTTCTAATTAAAACATCTCCACATGTCAGCATATTGGTAATGTATTATTTTAATCCATTTATTTTGTTTATGAAACAGTGACATATGTTTAGATTGTGAAATATATGAGCCTTAAAAATCACTTTATTGAAGAAAATTAATTCCTACAATACTGTCTCGGTAATGTGTTCACTCACCCAGTCAGTCACTGGCGGCACTGCCAGTCTTAATGTTGGGTAGACATACTCACCAGTTTTATCTGCACAACAGTCTCGGGAAGAAGCAATAACAGTTCTTTTTCTTAGCTCCAAATGGTAAGGCTTTCTTTCTTTACTTTTCCCCCCCTTTACTCATTAATTCATACCTATCCCCCCAAAACCCTTTTGTTGCTTCTTTTTTTTTTAATACAATGAAGGATGGGACTGTGTGTAAGTATAAAGGATTCTGAAAGACCAATCAAAATTAAAAACAAGCTAGTTACCTTTTCAAAGTTAGACACAGTAATTTGTTTGTCAGCAGGGAGATGTTTGGGTCAGCCCTGAGATACAGTGACTGTCAGCAGTTATTCCTACAAGACAAGTAATTTCACTCAATGTATTACTGACAGATTGCTCACTTCTCTGATTCACTGGAGAAAACAAACTTAATATTGTTACAGGCAGAGTTTCTGTCTTCATTAGCCTCAGAGAATGATTTTTATCGAGCATTCAAAGCCTACCATGCTTTAGTTGGAACATATTTTAACAGATGCGTTCTTATAATGATAGTATGGGTAGTCGTCTAAATGAAAGGAATTAAATATGAAAAATTTTAAAAAAACAATATAAATGCATTTTCACTTTTATTTGATGGGCACGATGTATAGTTCAGGGAAGATGTGAGGAAAGGAATATAATTGGAGCCTTAAAATACTAGAAAAACCTATCAACTATAAGTTATTCTCAAATGAAACTATTTAAGTCTTGCCAAGTTTGCAAAGATGGAGAACAATTGAAGTTTTTGCAAAAATAAATCCAAACACATATTTTATTTAAATGATGTCGACAATTTCCATGCTACAAATGGAAAGTGAAGAAGTGCCCATCAACCTTGAGAATGCTCTATCTCTATTTCCGTTCCAGCCTGAATCTTTATGGTGTTGTATTTAGATGCTCTTCCTGGCTCCTACCCCGTCTTCTTGTTTGCAGTCCCAAACATGCCTCAGTGCTGTGGAGGAATGGGAGGGTGAGTTAG